AGAAAATGTGGGTCGAGGAGAAAGAGAAAGTAAGTGTTGTGTAAGATATCCCTTATTCTTAGTCTCATGAAATGAAATACAAATGTAATAATAACTTCAATTTTAATAAAACAATCTACTAATCAAATATTTCTCTTTGTAATTTATCAAAAAATTGACAATCAAGAGTCCTTTCTGCTCTAATGGATAAGATTTATTTACAAGTTARTGCATTTTTTGGTCAGTTCTGGAATTGTGAGTAAAAATGCACCCTCAATTTTGTCTTTTCCTACTCCTGGAGTTGCAGGAAATTGAGAATTGTTGCACAATTATAGATCCATTCATTAGGCTATTTATCTTGATATGTCATGGGAAGAATACCCGGGCAGGTCACTATTTTAGTCCTTTGTCTAGTTATAATAGGTTTATTCAACCACAGTTGGTTCATCTTGAGAAGCACTAGCATCTAAATCGTCTTGGAGTGAAGTTTCTTCTGATGCCCTTGATTCATTTGTTTTTGGCAAGTTGTCATGGTTGATTTGGTTCTGTGAACATGTACTTTCTTCTCCACTGGCCACTGGATCAACATTAAGTATTTGGTTTGGAGACGTTTCCCTTGACACCTCTGATTCACTTTTAGAAGATAATGCTTCATCTCCATGTGTAGTTGTCACTGCCTCACTAGCTTCCACTTGCAGTGTCTTTTCATCTGTAACACTCAATTCATCTCTTGCAGGTGAAACTTCACCTTGCCTGACCTCATCTTGACAACTTCTTTCTTTCTCTAGACTAGAAATGTCAACTGTCTGGCTTTGAGAATCTCCTTGAACCACAATAGTAGAATCTTCTCTTGAGATTTCATCTTGACTTGATTGGAGGTGAGAAGTATTTTCCAAATTAATAGATTCATCTGTTGTAGATTTTTTAGAAAGGTCTTCAGAAACATTACATGTTGATGATGAAACAGACCCTACTTCAATATCACTAGATTTATCTTCTGTCAATTGTTTATTCACTTCAAGCCCAATATTACTGTTTTCTGCAATGTCTATGTCTTTAGTTTTAGTATCTTCTGACTGTTTGTAACTGTCACCTTCCACTGTTTGTTCTTTTCTATCTTTGTTACACTCACTTACAGATGATTCTAAACCATACACAACACGTGTGTCAGAAGTGAGATTGTTTCCACCTGAAGCACTTATTTCTAGGTTTGAGCATGATGCTGCTCGGGCTGTACTTAAATTGCTAAGATCGTCACCTAAATCATCAGATAACACATCCAGTTTGTCAAAGTTCAATGAGCTATCAAAGTCTAAATCAAGATTGCTTGCATGAAGGGAGGTTTCATCTTCAGTTGATGAGTCTGCACCCACACCGGACTCTCGTTCTTGCAGCTTTGAGAGCATAGTTTCCATTCGCTTGCTTTTTCTTTTTTCATGGATGTCATCACTTATGACTTCCAGTGACTTTAGGCAGGCAGAATAGTTTTCCTTAGCACCAGACAAGCCTAACAGGATGGAATCCACTCGTAACTTTAGTTGCTAAAAAAAATAAAATCTGTTAAATATATATAAAATATATCTTGTTAAATATACATGTAGAAACAATAATGAGAAAAATACTTACCCACAGATGACGGTCAAAGTCTTTCTTTTGTTCAAAGTAGGGTCTATCAAAAGAAAGTATTATATAATATAAACATAACTTTGAACATAAAGCAGTTTATTATTATTTCTATAACCCTGCTTTCTGAGAAAAATGAATTTGAGCCACTTTTAGCCCAATTTTATTTCTAATCTAAGCTCTAAGAGAAAGTTTTCTAGTTTATCAATCTGCTAACAATCAAGCTATTTTGTAGCAATTTTTTATCAAACGTTATTCATGTAATGCAGAAATATGTCTACCATAAAACAACACCCACACATACTTTGCCTTTTCCACTGAGCTTTTGAGCTTCTTATACAGCTTTTTTACTTTAAGTTCTAAATCCCTATAAGCCTTCAAATCTTCTTGATGCTGTTTCCAGCTGTCTCTTTTCAATTTCTCAGCTTCATTGACCTAGAAACATTAAATGAAAGATATTGGCTCCCCACAAAATTTAACAAAGTCCAATAGACAATAACCTCTATTGTTGCTTGATTTAGCATTTCTTGGAGTGCAGTATCAAAAGCCCTTTTTGGACCAGCACCAAAAACTCTCTTCTCTGCCTCTTGAACTCTTGTTCTGGCTGCAATATGCATGCCTGTAGCTCTCTCAAACTGGTTGGTTGATTTTTGAAGCATGCCATGTGACTGCAAAGTAAATGAAACTCACCAGTAAGGTGAAGTATGATTGAAATTCTTTTTCCTCCATTTATATATGATGTGTGATAATTCATACATAGTCTAGCTGGTAGAGTGTGCTCCAGTTAATCCAGAATAAATGATATKGGAGGGCATGTGGTCTCTATATTCAATAATGAGGTTTTTTTTGTTTTACTGCTACAGGACTTAATGTACCTGGCGTAGTTGTCTATATGATTCATAAAATGGTCTTGATTTATCAACACACTTTCCAAGTTTTTGAGCAACCCCATTCAGATGTTGTGTAGCTCCAGCTAAGGTTTGTCTGAATACTGCACGTGCTTCCTGATGGTCAAATAGAGACAACAGAACATTAAACATGAGATGTCTTCAAACTGTATGTCTCTGTTTATTAGCTATTAATTATGACCAATTTGATAACAGTGATAAATATTGAGGGTTCCTATTCTCAATATATCATAGCACTCTATTATTTCAAGCAAAATCACAGAAAAACAAGAAAATTCATGATTGAGTTAAGCCTCCAGACAGCATCAATAGTGAGTATCTACTTTCACAATTCTTTAAATGAACTTGGCTTMGAAAGGGTGGTGCCTGTGACCCATCCATACATGTACATACATCCCTATATAGGTCTATACACTAGCAAGAGGTCACATTTATGTAGTTCAGTGAGGCGCTAGACCAACCCATTAATACATTCTCTTTAAACTAAATCGTAAATATATTATACTACCCATTGGAATATTGAAATGGAACTTTACAGAGTGATTTCTTGTTAGTTTAACGTTATTTTGACAAAGTTCAGTTTCTAAAACGTAATTTACAGGTTAACTTATATTATTAGTCCGTCCTGTCTATTAATTTGATGTTAAATGGCCTTAAATATTAATTACTAACCAATGCAAGAATGAAAACATTATAATAAAGGTCTTAGCTTATGCTACTAATGAGCAACAAAGAGCGTCCAGAATTGTAATTGTGTCTTAAGTTAATTGCGAAATGGCATTCACTTTCGAAACAGATGGTAGTCTTAATAAGAATTACTAAAAATTCAGAGCGAATATTTGAATATTTATACTCACATCTAGCTCAGCTTCAAGATGATTTATGGAATTCGTGGCAGCATTCAATTTCTCTAATTCATCCTATCCGAATAGAATTAAGAATATGCAGACATTGTTGTAGACTGACATGCATGGAAACCTCCGCGCATTGTTACCTGAATTCTAGGGTCTAACTCTTCCTCTTCGTCGTCGTCGGTGTAGCTCTCATCACTGTTCACTACTTCTTCCTCCATTTCGAGATAAAATTCCAATCAYAAACTGAGCTACTATAAAAGAACAAATCGATCCATGCACAGCATGGCACAATGCTGAAGGMATCAAATGTTCTCGACCGACTCACGAAAATAAATCGACCGAAAAGCRGTTATTCAAAAAATTCGAAATACTAGCATTGAAAAAAACTTGATAAAAAATTGATACCCCCTGAATCATGGRAAAGTTTTATTTAACACATTTGTCATTTTGCGGTTTTTAAAATCTCTAAAATCGCTATTGTTAAATATTTAAAAATAAATCGATAAACGTTCGTTTTATTACCGCTGACTCTTGAGTCCGCGGGCGAAGCAAAACAATAACAAACAGCATCAAAAAGATTTCATTCTTTCTCTCCCAAATTTCCTCGGAAAAGATGCCTTCTGTTGCTCATTGGAAAGCTTCTTATTACTGCAACACAAAAAGATCATGGATTTATGGAAACTTTCAAGTATTCCCGCAATTTGTACAGTTCTGTGAAGACGCCAAATGTGACATCATCGATTTTAAAATCTATTTCGACGAATTTGTTGAAATCAAGAAAGAAACAACCAATGTTTTTTACACGGCTTTAACAATAAGGGTGAACAATAGCAAGTTTTGGTTTTCTTCGTTCCCAAGCTGTACAAATGTTTACAACATGCTGGAGCATTTCTGGAAAGAAAGATTGTTTGCTGGGTAAATTCTTGTAAAAAGTTCAGCTACATAGAGKAGCGAGACAATATACTAGTACACGCTTGTAAAGTATTAATTAACTAACTACCTTTGCCTTTACTCTAAATATATTGTAGTCTCAAATATTGCATTATATAATGTCGTTAATCAGGCATGATATTGATTTTTTCCTACTTTCTTTCATACTTTCTTCAAAGTCACAACTGAATATATTTAAAATTGTTCCCAATTTCAGCTCAATACCATCGAGTTCATCACAAACAAACTCCCGTGGACAGCAGTTGTTAAGAATACTTCATGATTCTGCTGACTGCCTTTCTTCTACAACCAAGACACTAGMAACACAAGGACAACAGATTGATAATGCATGTAGAACTATGAATAAAATACATAATGATTTGGGTATTGCAGAAAACATCTTGCACAGTATGGATTCATGGCTTAACCAGTGGAGTGTATCATTTGAAGATGTCATGATAAATGTTTCCACTGCTCCTGGTAGCTCAGAAAAGCTRGAACTCCCTGTGTTGTATGCCGTAAATGAAAAAGACAAACATGTGTCTGGCTCTCTGGTGCTTAGCAAGAAAGACATTGAAATTTTGGATCTTCAGAGAGCTCCAGTATACAGTTTTAATGGACGAGAGATTTCTGAAGCAACATTTCACACTCCATATGAGGTGACGTTRGTCARAAGTGAGATTGGGAAACAAKTGGTGTGTGTACATCTGATTTCAGCAAGGCTAATACAGGTTATYCCACAAATAAAAGCAATGCTTGGACCTAAACTAATCCTTGAGAACTCTTCTGATGAAATAACAACAGATGGTCAGAATGAATTGATGCAAAACTTGAAACTTGATTGTAAGTTAAAGGCTCTACCTGTTATCTAATTGAAATATCAATTGTTATTATGTTAAATTAACTTGTACCACTGTTTGGTTATAGAATATATCACACAATACATTAATTGATATCAAACATGAAGGGATTTGATTTGCATATTCACTTCTACAATGAGCAGTGCGAGTTTACTCCAGCACTGCTGGATCAGCGACAGAAATACCATACTGGTCACTCAAGGATCAGTCTTTAAAGCCACAGTCAGCTCTGTAGTTCAACCTCAGACTGACTTCTATGGAGCAAACTCCATTGTGTCCTCAGAYAGATGGATGCTAGCAAATTGAATAATACTGCAAAGTACTGTGTAATGTCAAATAACCAAACAAAGCATTTCTTATCTTTCAGACATAAATAAACAGAAATATGCAGYTCAAGGTACCAGCCAACAAGGTTCCCAATCAGTMAGTGATGCTGAAGCARCCCAAATGACAAAACTTCTACAAGATATGAAATCAATGGCAGTTGGTATTAAAGGTGAACAAGGAAGACAATTACAACAGCTGGATCTGCTGGCAAAYTCAGTGGATAAAGCAAATGAAAGACTAAGGAAAAACAATAGAACTATCAATCATCTGACATAAGTTTGTGGGTGCTCAA